ATGATGCATATATACAATATTCTCTGTTGAACATTAAGTGTGTTATAAGAGAGTGCATTCTCTAGGTCCGCATGGCCAAAAGGGTCCATAATTAATGAACAGACAACTACCGTGAGACATGTGTATTCTCATAATGTACTCAAATGCATGTATAATAATCAGAAAATGCTCTGTAGAGAAGTCTTAATGCTCTGCATGAAGGTCTGCATATGCACAGGAGTCAAACTGATAAAAATTATAGCTGACACTAATAACTGTGTGATTAATGTGGACTACAGAAGAGGAGACATATGTGGGTGGTTCCTTTGCTTATGTGCATATCCTCTGTTCAGCATCAGTGCCCCGTGTGTCCATGGATCAGAGACTTTGAAAGCAGATCATTGTTGCTGAGACTCATCAATCATGGCGGTTTCTGCCTCTGAATGAGCAACCACCCGAAAGATCACATTCAGAATATTCGTCTGGGTGCCGACAGTAAACATGGCAGATTTCATACACAAGTCAGCTTACTTAAAGGCTCATCTGATTTTAATTTTAATTACATGCTGTCAGAGGTACACGACAGGACTTCTTGATGAATAGGATGTACAGCATCTTACTGACTCCCATACTTGTCTTTCAGCTTCTAAACCAGACTTTCAATCTAAAAGTAAAATTGATTTTCCATTCCACTCCTTTAACCATGAAAGGCAATCTGTCCTCCACCATCATTCAGAATGTACACATCAGGACATTTTCCAAAAAAAAAAAAAAAAAAAAGAAGTTACAAAATATGAGATCAAACAGTGTGTAAATCATTCATTTTTATATAAAAATACTGTTCAACAGCGACACCAGTGGATAAAACATGAATATGAGGTGGGTAACCAAAAATACTCAAAAAAATAAAATGCATTTAAATACAAACTCCAGGTTTCTGTGATTGGCTGATTACTCCCAGTTGTTCAACATGATGAAGATGAATGGACTAATTATAATGTAAACAAGTTGTGTTTGTTTAAACATGCATAAACTAGATTTATAGTGGGTAAACAATTGTTTGTATATATATATATGTTTTTAAAAAGTTGTGTGTGTGTGTGTACCTGTTTTTCTATTCTGGTGGGGACTTAAACCTGAATACACACAGACTCATGGGGACTCGTGTCACGGTGGGGACCTAAATT